ATTCAGTGGTACCTTCACAGGTCAGAGCAGTTAAGTTTAAACAAGCACAAGGTTGGCTGGCGGGAGCTACTGGGCCTCACTTCCCTGGAGGCACTGGTAGGAGAGTGCTGGTAGGAGAGTTAGCGCCCCTGCCCCCCACGACCCCCTACACCCTCCCACAGTGACGGCGTCACCTCCTGCCCACGGCGCCAACACAACTTTCACTTGAGCGTGTGTGTGTGATGCCAGTCTTCACCTCCCTCACTCTCCCCACACGCCACATATTCTCTTAATTTTCATTTACATTTTTAGAAAGTTGTAATAGCAAGAACATATCAGCCTGGTTATACTATAAACGCTATACTAGTGTAGGTGTATAACAGGAGCATATCAGCCTGGTTATACTATAAACGCTATACTAGTCACAGTAATGCTTAATGTGTCACATTATTTTCAACGTTAGATGAGGGAGAACTCTTTCAGACACTGAAATTATATTCCAATACCAAACTGGCAAAACATTTTGTGGCCCTGCCTCTCACACACTGCCTCTCACACACTGCCTCTCACACACTGCCTCTCACACACTGCCTCTCACACACTGCCTCTCACACACTGCCTCTCACATACTGCCTCTCACACACTGCCTCTCACACACTGCCTCTCACATACTGCCTCTCACATGCTGCCTCTCACATACTGCCTCTCACACACTGCCTCTCACACACTGCCTCTCACATACTGCCTCTCACACACTGCCTCTCACACACTGCCTCACACACACACTGCCTCACACACACACTGCCTCTAGTTTTAACTATGAATCAAGATTTAATGAGGAAGGTGCAAGTTGGAGTTGACCTCAAGTGAAGACATCTGTGCCAGGCAACTCATATGTATTAACAAACACTCATCACTTCTGAGATGCAGCAAAGATATTCTACACACCATTTTTTCCGGAATGTGAATAGAATTCTTGTTCCAAATTGGAGTGAAATGACAAGGGAATAACATAAAGGAAGTGCAGGAGGAACATAACTAGCAGAGTAATGGAGAGGAACAATAACATAGAAGTAACGGAGGAATAACGAAGAAATAACAGGGGCAATAACAGCAGAGTAACAGGAATAACTGAGATACAATTGAGGAATAACGAATGAGTAGCTGAGGGACACAATGTGGACAATTTGAACGTTGAATATGACAAGTAAACAGTCTTCTAGTTTACATGTGTCACTGTGAAAGAGACAAGGACGTGGATCTTTCCTGTCTATAACTGGCAGAACAATGGAATGTAAAGTTGGCTGGGGAGAAGGCGGCCCCCCGGTGCTGTGTGCAGGGCAAGCGAGCGCAGCACTCTGAGTTGACGACCTGTGGTCCGCCTCTTGCTACACCCAATTATGAGTCATGTATTGCTGTAAATAGCAAAAACAACTCTGTAATATATTTGACTTATGAATGCGACTCATTTTATGACGAAGCTTAATTTAATTTTTAATTTTGCCCCGAGGGGCGAGTTTATTGGGCAGCGCCACTCATCTTGTGAGTGAACATACCGCCATAGCAGAATGTACAACACTCACCAATAGGAAGAAAACCCGCTGGGTTGTTCATCCTGTCACTTGTACCCAGACACAGCTGGGACTTGCTTAACTGTCTCAAGTGAACAGCTCCTCAAACAAGAAGATTAACATTTATCAACCCTTAAAAGCTTACGTTATCTTGCGGGTGCAAAATTGGGAAATCTTTTCAGAACAGTATCAATATTTGACAAAAAGTGTTTTCCTAACTCAAACAATGTGGGGTTTATTATTCTACAGTTATTCCTAATATCTCTCAGGTGTTCACATTCACGTAGATAGTGGTCAAGGCGGTGTCCATCACTCTCACCACAGATGCTGCAACTTCGCTGATCAACTGTTGTTTCCATTCCAAATCTCCATGGATATTTGTATCCAAGACGGATTCTCGCTATTACAGATTCTCTCCCTCGTCGTCCTCCTCTTCGGCCATACTGATTGGGATTGCCAGCTGCAACCATGTTGTACCATCGTACAGATTCACTGGTTTGTGCTTCTATCCTCCTTTCCTCAGTTACCTTGTCACGGTGATGTTGCCTGATAATACCTCTAATTTGTAGTTGAGTCTTGGGTATGAAGTATTCAATATGGTCTCCTTCAGCGCCTTCAGCAGCCAGCACATCTGCTCGTTCATTCCCACATATTCCAACATGGGAGGGGATCCACAGAAACTTGATGACTCTTCCCTGGTTGGTAAGTACTCTCACAGCTCTCTTGATTTCAGCGACTATTGCAAGATTTTCTGCCTGATTTTTACTTAGGCTTTGCAGTGCTGCTTTTGAATCGGTGCAAATCACTGCACCATTAGTGTTCCGTTCAAGAAACCTGACGAAGCTTCTGCACTGGTCATAAACTAAGTCAATAACATTTCTTTACCAACATCATAGAACACCAGGACCTATTTTCAGGCCACATCTGGTTATGACCAAAACTATGGACAGAAACAACGACAATTCGAGATTGGATATATCAGAAGCACTTTATATCAAACACATTCACCCAGTTGTAAATCTATTCGTGGAAGCTCATGGTTTCACTTTCGTAGAAAAGGAAAGCTGGCACAACACACAGGAGGGAGGAAGGGAGGGAGGGAGTTATCAGGAAAAATGTGTCAAGCCAATACGACTATAGAGCACTTGGAAGGGGTCGGGACAAGCATTTGGGAAGGGACGGGGTGGGAGGAGGAGGAATGGTGCCCAAGCACTTGGACGGCCGGGGATTGAACGCCGACCTGCCTGATGCGAGACCTTGGCTCTACCGTCCAGCCCAAGTGGTTGGACCAACACACACACGGCGAGGGAGCCCGGAACCTGTGGTCAAGGGTGACGCGGGTCAGGCTGTTAACTAGGAAACTTTTGCTGGAGGTCGCGTTAGTTCCTTTCACCCTCGTTATTGTTATATTTTGGGACCATCATAATCAGAACACCGGGTAAACTTTCTCAGCTGGGAATGACATCAACGACATCACAGAAATGATCTAGATCACGAAGTTTGCCCAGTTCTTTGCTTTCTCAGCTTTCTGTTTCTCAACTTTCTGATTTGTTTCTCTGTATTTTCTCAATTTTCTTTGTTTTCGGCTGCGATTTTAGGTACTTTTGTAATATTCAAATTTAAAAATTCAAAATCAAACATCAGTGAATTTGAAAGGGTTTCAGTAAATCGTGAATCGGTTAAGAGCAACAGGGTAATGTCTTCATTGTTGGGACCTCTGAGGTCTTGATCGTTGGGACCTCTGAGGTCTTCATCGTTGGGATCTCTGAGGGCTTGATCGTTAGGATCACACGGGACGTGATCGCTGGGACCTTAGTGGTCTTGATCGCTGGGACCACCTTACCTTCAGGTTACCTTAAGGTGATTTCGGGGCTTAGCGACCCCGTGGCCTGGTCCTCGACCAGGCCTCCTTGTTGCTGGACTCGTCAACCAGGCTGTTGGACGCGGCTGCTCGCAGCCTGACGTATGAGTCACAGTTTGGTTGATCAAGTATCCTTTGGAGGTGTTTATCCAGTTCTCTCTTGAACACTGTGAGGGGTCTGCCAGTTATGCCCCTTATGTGTAGTGGAAGCGTGTTGAACAGTCTCGGGCCTCTGATGTTGGTAGAGTTCTCTCTCAGAGTACCTGTTGCACCTTTGCTTTTCAATGGGGGTATTCTGCACATCCTGCCATGCCTTCTGGTCTCTTGTGATGTTATTTCTGTGTGCAGGTTTGGGACCAGCTCCTCTACTATTTTCTACGTGTAAATTATTATGTATCTCTCCCGCCTGCGCTCAAGAGAATACAGATTTAGGCTCTTTAATCGGTCCCAGTAGTTTAGATGTTTTACTGGATGAATTCTAGCAGTAAAGGATCTCTGCACGCTCTCCAGGTCAGCAATTTCTCCAGCTTTGAAAGGTGCTGTCATTGTGCAACAGTATTCCACTCTAGAAAGCACTAGCGTCTTGAAAACTATCATCTGTATAGCATATCTAATGTGAAAAGTTCTTATTTTCCAACCTGTCATTTTTCTTGCAGTTTTGTCGGCTACTTTATTGTGTTCTTTAAAGGTAAGGTCTTCGGACATGAGTACACCCAGATCCTTTACATTGCCTTTTCGTTCAATGTTATGATTTGACTGCGTTTTGTACGTGGTTTCCGTTTTTATATTGTCCTTTTTTTCCGTAGCGCAAGAGCTGGAACTTATCTTCGTTAAACACCATATTATTTTCTGTAGCTCATAGAAAGACTTGGTTTACGTCTGACTGGAGGTTTGCCGTGTCCTCTATGTTGTCTACTCTCATAAAAATCCTAGTGTCGTGTTAGCCTAGCGCGGGTGTTACTAGCAATGGGTCGTGCGAGGGTGTTACTAGCAATGGGTCGTGCGCAGGTGTTACTAGCAATGAGTCGTGCGCAGGTGTTACTAGCAATGAGTCGTGCGCAGGTGTTGCTAGCAATGGGTCGTGCGAGGGTGTTACTAGCAATGGGTCGTGCGCAGGTGTTACTAGCAATGAGTCGTGCGCAGGTGTTACTAGCAATGAGTCGTGCGCAGGTGTTACTAGCAATGAGTCGTGCGCAGGTGTTACTAGCAATGGGTCGTGCGCAGGTGTTACTAGCAATGAGTCGTGCGCAGGTGTTACTAGCAATGGGTCGTGCGCAGGTGTTACTAGCAATGGGTCGTGCGCAGGTGTTACTAGCAATGGGTCGTGCGCAGGTGTTACTAGCAATGGGTCGTGCGCAGGTGTTACTAGCAATGGGTCGTGTGCGGGTGTTACTAGTTATGGGTCGTGCGCAGGTGTTACTAGCAATGGGTCGTGCGCAGGTGTTACTAGCAATGGGTCGTGTGCGGGTGTTACTAGTTATGGGTCGTGCGCAGGTGGTGTTGCCATACTGCGGGTCAGATGGGCAGGCAGGCGAGGCTGAGGTATATAAGAGCAGAAGACGCCCGCCGCCCGTCAGTCTGCCAGCGACTGTCAAGAAAACAGTGTTACTCCTCGCCACTTCTTGCTAACCTCAGCTTTTTTCTCCCGACAAGTCTACTACAGTCAGCCTGAATACCTGTAATTAATCTGATAAATTCCTGAAAATTTTAAGCTGCGATGTATTAGTGCGTTATTGTATACATTTACTATCTTCCGGATGAACAGAGATGTAATATACCTGTAAATAATTTATTGCTGAAAAATTCAGACACTTGCATTGTTTTGACAACGAGGCGATAATGCAGACACCAGTGTTTAATGTTGCTGGCACTGACTAACACTTGTCTCACCAGGACGATGGCTCGTCTGGAGGCCTGCCTGGTGACGGTAGTGGTGACGCTGGTAAACCTCTGCTACACTCTACCAAGTGACAACCAGTAAGTGTTTATGCCTTGGTAAACCTCTCTAACACGACCAGTAATGTTACGACGTTATTCATTAACGACAAGTAAAGTTTCAAATGTATCTTGTCCAGTAGTGTTAAATGGCAGAGGTCACATCTATGGGTGATATAACACATTTAGTGGTCCAGTCCGGAGATTTTATGTTAGATCAAAATACATTTTCTTACAAATATCACAACCAAACTTAGTATCAAATATGATTAGTTGATTCCGAGCATGAATGTGACCGGATATGACCTTGACAGAACGTCGTCGGTGGGGTATCAGAGCGGGTTCCTGTACGTGACCCCGGAACGACGCCTCAAGATGCCGCCAGCAAGCGTCCTCATCCTCACCCCGACGCTCAGTCTTCCCATGGACAGGAACCTCGGCCTCGGCTTTGGCGCCTCCATGACCACCTCCTTTCCCTTCAGAAGTGAGTATTTTACCTGATTTCTGGGCAAGACCGAGTTTGGTGCTTCCTGAGGGTGGCAACGTTAGTGTCGTGGCTGGTGTAACGCGTATGACCATGTCCTCAGTGGGATTCGCTGGTCGGCCGCTAGAGGGATGCAGACGTGACCCCATCCTTTCTCTCAGTTGCTGGGCGAAGCATGTCGTTGGAGGTTGAGTGGTGTTCTGCGTGTCCAGTGCAATACCAATGCCAAACTGGACTTGGCATTGCCCTTTTGGAGGTACTAGTGTGAAGCTGTCGTACCTGGTAGGGGTGCAGCTTCTTCAAGCTCACCGAGATGTGGTGAAGTTTATTCGCCCTGAGGTGTTCCGGGCATTTCTGGAAAAGTTTGACGGTTGTTCCTTCACTATGCCGGCATGACACTATGAGTTCTGACTGCTGTGCCTGCAGTCCCTGAAGTTCTCGACTGCCCGCTTGCGGTTCCGGCTGTTATGAAGGTTCCTGTGGTTTTCACGGAGCCGGTTGTGGGCATTGTGACCACGGGGAGTGTGGTTTAGTCTGTTCCGGTGGAAGTCCACGCTGTACCTGCTTCTGTGGAGGTGGTCCCGGCTCCCCGTGAGGCATCTTCGTCTGATGTGGTGCGACTGATGTGCGTGATGTGGCTTCCTCCTCGTCTCCTGATGCGGCTCCAGGTGCTTTGTTTACATTGGATGAGCGTCCTTCTCGTCGCCTCACGGATGCGTTGTCTTTGGATGACCTGATTCCTTCCCAGAAACATAGGTAAGGGTCTGCCAGATCGCTTTCCCCTGGTGGTGGAGCCGCTTTTGTCCATGTGGATAGAGAGGAAGAGGTGGGGGTGGACATGCCTGTGGTGGTGCAGGGTCGGGGAGGAGTGGCCTCTATGCATGTTCCTGACTGCCCATCGCCCTCGGTTGCCGGTACCTCAAGGTGGGGGATTGTTGACCCCAGTGATGGCGGTCGTGTGCAGCGCGATTTGGTACTCGTGATGAAGAAGTAGCCTGGGTCCTCTCCTCGTCTGCTTTCAGTCTCGTCTCGCTCCTGTGGTCCACAGGGGGGGGGGTGGCCATGATAAGTGGCAGAGGTGGGTGCTTACTGGAAATAATTGAGGGCTGCGTCCCTTGTTGGCACTGTGTGTGTGTCTGTGTCTTATCTATGTTTTGTGTGTTGGTGTACCTGTGCGTGTCTATGCCGTGAGGCATATTTGCCTCAGGTGGTCCGCATCATCTATTGTCATTAGGCTTGGCGATTAACCCTTTACGGGTACGCCGGGGCGCATCCGATCTCCAGATCGTCGTCGCCCATTAATTCAACACAACATGTCCCCAGTGGATGGTAAATCCCAAATAGTACATCAATATCCTCGCAGTTAATGGGATGTACACTTCCGGCACTCACCTTGTGTTAGTGCTAGTGACTCCACACCAGGAATGACTTGATTCATTAATATTTTTTGTGGTTTGTATATCGTATCAGTGAACAGTTTTGTCCTTGATAGTGACTTAACTCATACATAAAATACTAGGAAATGTACATCAGTAGTAACATTTTGTCAACAAATTCTTACCAACAAAATGTAACAAAGACTTGAGGAAGCCTAGTGGTGGTGGTAAGGCGGCCTGCGGGCGTCCAGCCACTTTCATCTCGTATTTACCTAACCTGTTCTTAACACTTTCCACGGTACTCAGATCAGTGAGGTTGCTCCTTCACTCTTAACTCCTTAAGTTTCTCGTCAATAATCTTTATCGCTTCTGCGATAAATTTGATTATCATTTGGTTCGACTCAAGTGTATCGATACGCATTCTCTTGCGGACAAAATTGAACATAATCTATTTTGCATTTCATGATGGTCAATATTTAACGTTTATTGATAGGTCTGATACATTGCAGAATTCATTACGGTATCAATAATGTTAGTTAATGATAGTTGTGGCCAAAGATTAAACAACCAAAATTCGTTTATTCATAACACGTGAAAAATATTTTGGGCGTCATTACCAAATTTGTTGTTCGTATCCTATTAGTTCTTCCAAAGGTGACACCGCAAACAAATAAAGGGAACATTGCAAAGTTGCATTAGTTGTTTGCTATAAAATAAACATAATTCAATTAATAGGAACACAGTAAATCACAATAATATGATTGAAATTTAGGCACCCAACCCACGAATCAGAAAAACCCAGCGAGTGACGACGTTCTGGCTGGCGTGAGTCATCCAGGGTTATGGGCACAACGACGTCACTTTCTACATTTTCAGACTTTTTTATACACACAGGTGGGTAGAGGACCAGATGACTGTTGTTAGCAGGCTGAGAGCTTTCCCTTCCCATAGTTCATGGTAAGCCTTACCCACTAGTCTCCCCGGAATACAACCCGCCAAATCGTTTAACAACCAGGTACCCATTCACTGCTGGGCGAACAGAGGCGCACAGTTAAGGATTGACGCCTAGTCAATCCTCTGCGGCCCGGATATGAACCCAAGCTAAATCGCTCGCGAAGCGCCAGGGCGAATGTATTACCACTGAGCTACCTATGTAGTTATCTATAGTTATTAGTTGTTCAAATTATAAATTTTTAATTATATTTTTGGTCCAAATATATGTTTGTTTAATATAAATATAAATAAAAGTAAGAAAAGTAAATAGAAATGATACAACTCTATTTGATCTTTCTGATGCTCCCAAACAAATAATTTTTGAAATATTTGTTTGTAAAATTAAATATAATCCCCCTTAAGTAAATATATATATATTGTTTGGCTTTATTTGTTTTACTACGGGCTCACCATAGCCCATGCTACTTGGAACTTTTTGTTCCAGGCAGCGAATCTTTAACAACATTATTTGTTTATTTTATTCTCGCTTTTAGTAAAGACTCCCATGTCACAAACATTAAACTATGACTCAGTTGTTGCGTCCCCAGCTGACCACTATGACTCAGTTGTTGCGTCCCCAGCTGACCACTATGACTCAGTTGTTGCGTCCCCAGCTGACCACTATGACTCAGGGCTTGCGTCCCCAGCTGAGCACTATGACAGGACTTGCGTCCCCAGCTGAGCACTATGACTCAGGACTTGCGTCCCCAGCTGAGCACTATGACTCAGGACTTGCGTCCCCAGCTGAGCACTACGGCTGGGACTCCTAGAGACGATAAGCTGCAGAGCGCTACACAACATATTAACACACATTATACCGTAAGGTGGAGTGGGAGACGGGCCGGTGACCAAGTGTTGTTATTGTTGTTGCAGTCGACTTTGACACCCTGGGCATGACCTCCGAGGACAACACCTGGGGCATTAATAGGAAGAAGCGCGAGGTCCCGACCCCTGGTGACCTGGCTGGAGGCGACAGGTACGTACTAGCAGCACGAGTACTTATGTAGTGTGACTATCAGAGCTCTGTGTGAGATATTATTGCATTATTGTGGAATGGAAGTTAACTAATCATGAACAAATTCTAGCAGAAACATTTCATATAAATCTGTAATAATTTAGAGTGAGTCAGTATTGGGGTGGATAACCATGCACCATGCACTGTACACCAGGAAGGTGATGATAACCATGCACTCTGTACCCCAGGGAGATGATGATAACCTTGCACTCTTTACCTCAGGGAGATGATGATAACCTTGCAATCTTTACCTCAGGGAGATGATGATAACCTTGCACTCTTTACCTCAGGGAGATGATGATAACCTTGCACTCTTTACCTCAGGGAGATGATGATAACCTTGCACTCTTTACCTCAGGGAGATGATGATAACCTTGCACTCTTTACCTCAGGGAGATGATGATAACCTTGCACTCTTTACCTCAGGGAGGTGATGTACAGGGTGGTAGAGAAGAGCATGGAGGCTCTGGGTGTGGACGGGAAGGCGTGCCTCCTGCGAGCCATCTGCGAGCTCTCACAGTCCCCCCTCACCAACCACGGCTTCTTTGGTGAGGTCCTCCAGCTCTTCCTCAGGTGAGTTGGTTTATATAACAGTGGGGGTACCTGGTGTATGTCTCTCTCTCCTCTCTCTCTCTCTCTCTCTCTCTCTCTCTCTCTCTCTCTCTCTCTCTCTCTCTCTCTCTCTCTCTCTCTCTCTCTCTCTCTCTCTCTCTCTCTCTCTCTCTCTCCCTCCCTACTTTTCTATCTATTTACTTCTATATATTTACCTCTATCAATATAGAGGGATCTAACAATATATCTCTGTCTATCTAGTCCACTCGTCCCCTGCCTGTTCCCCCCCCCCTCTTCCCCTCATTTTACGTCGTCACTACTCACTGTCTGTATCACTGTGTATGCAGAACTATCTTCATCACAACCATCTTCACTACTCATTATTTTCCCACTAACCATACTCACGTATTCCATCACTGCAACCCCGAATGAGTTCAGTTTGTCTGTTCCAGTAACTCGTGAAAGTTCGCAATAAACTGTATGGAAATCTCTTCGCTCATTTCAATTCAGACTTCATGAAAACATAGGAGGTGATGATAACCATGCACTGTGTACCCCAGGGAGGTGATGATAACCATGCACTGTGTACCTCAGGGGAGGTGATGATAACCATGCACTGTGTACCTCAGGGGAGGTGATGATAACCATGCACTGTGTACCCCAGGGAGGTGATGATAACCATGCACTGTGTACCTCAGGGGAGGTGATGATAACCATGCACTGTGTACCTCAGGGGAGGTGATGATAACCATGCACTGTGTACCTCAGGGGAGGTGATGATAACCATGCACTGTGTACCTCAGGGAAGGTGATGATAACCATGCACTGTGTACCTCAGGGGAGGTGATGATAGTCATGCACTGTACCCCAGGGGAGGTGGTGATAGTCATGCACTGTACCCCAGGGACAGTGCATGGTTATCGTCCTAACCAACGCGGGAGGTGGGTAAGGTTACAGACTTAAATATTTAGTATTTCTTAAATCGTTTAACTTGGGATTACTCCAACCAGCCAATGTCTGGCCCGGACACCTGACATAGGCGTATGTGTCTTTGTTGAGTATCTTCATAGGATCATTGGAACGAATCTTCTATGTTTCTTGTGTTTTCACAATAGTTTACTCACCTATTTGTGCTTGCGGGGTTTGAGCTTTGGCTCTTTGGTCCCGCCTCTCAACCGTCAATCAACTGGTGTACAGGTTCCTGAGCCTACTGGGCTCTATCATATCTACATTTGAAACTCTGTATGGAGTCAGCCTCCACCACATCACTGCCTAATGCATTCCATCCGTTAACTACTCTGACACTGAAAAAGTTCTTTCTAACGTCCCTGTGGCTCATTTGGGCACTTAGTCTGCACCTGTGTCCCCTTGTTCGCGTACCAACCATGTTAAACAATATTTCCTTATCTACCCTGTCAATTCCTCTGAGAATTTTGTAGGTAGTGATCATGTTTCCCCTTATTCTTCTGTCTTCTAGTGTCGTGAGGTGCATTTCACGCAGCCTTTCCTCGTAACTCACGCCTCTTAGTTCTAGGACTAGCCTAGTGGCATACCTCTGAACTTTTTCCAGCTTCGTCTTGTGCTTGACAAGGTACGGGCTCCATGCTGGGGCTGCACACTCCAGGATGGTCTTACATATGTGGTATACAAGGTTCCGAATGATTTCTTGCACAGGTTCCTGAAGGCTGTTCTGATTGTTGATCAATCATGTTGATCAATCAGATCAACATTCTAATCTGATCCAAGTTGCAAGCCCAACTTGGCTGGCTAACTGCTGATTAGCTAGTTTGGGGGGGGGGGTGGAGGAGTAGAGAGGGCTTCGGGGGTGGGGGAGAGGGGGAGGCTTAGGAGAAGGTGATAGGCGGAGGCTAGGGGGGTAGGTGAGAGGGGGGAGGCTTGGGGGAGTGTGGGAGAAGGGGAGGCTTGGGGGGGGGGGGTATGGGAGGAGGGAGGGCTTGAAGAGATGGGGGGCTTGGGGGAGAAGGGAGGTCCTGGAGAGGAGGGAGTGGGGGGGAGGGTGCCTTAGGTGGGCACCTAATGGGGGGCTGGTAGGGGTTGGGGCAGGTAGGACGTCAATTGGGTGGAAGGTGGGGTGGTGTTCCTCTCACTGTGGTTGTTGAACTGCTTGTGGAGGGTTCCCCACTCCCCTCTGGGATTGTAGGGTTCTGGATTGTGGTTCCCTGATTCTTTTCTTTCTCCCTGCACTCCCTCCTCGCGGCTGCTGTTCTCATTCTCTCGTCCCTTGTCATATCCTTCTGTAGGAATACTTTTTTGGACCTCAGTACATTTGCTAATCCGCTCTTCCTTGCAAACATTTCCTTTTTTGGCTTTACATTAGTGGCTTCGCTAGTATGTATAACTCTTGTCATTCCTTATAAGGAGTATATATAAGTCCTTATTATCATTCTCATTTATAAGATAGATTTTTAACGATGAGCTTCGTTAGTCTCTTATCATCCACGATTCTTATTCCATCCGTCTCATTCAATTCTTCTTTCATTCACATGAATAACAATTCCTGCCCAGAATCTCACACTCCATCTTGAGGTTATCTTGAGATGATTTCGGGGCTTTTAGTGTCCCCGCAGCCCGGTCCTCGACCAGGCCTCCACCCCCAGGAAGCAGCCCGTGACAGCTGACTAACACCCAGGTACCTATTTTACTGCTAGGTAACAGGGGCATAGGGTGAAAGAAACTCTGCCCATTGTTTCTCGCCGGCGCCTGGGATCGAACCCAGGACCACAGGATCACAAGTCCAGCGTGCTGTCCGCTCGGCCAACCGGCTCCCTAGCTCCATGAACGGACAGCCGAGTGACTTTCCCTGGTGGCGGGCAACTCTCACCGCGTGAGGCCACATCCGCCTTCATGTCGGGTGTTGAGGCATAGTCCGCACACACACCTGTCTCCCGCCACCTCTATATATACCCGAGTCAGGTGTGTGTACCACACCCGCCGCTCTGGTCAGCCTGGCTATATGGAGTGTGGCCTATTTTTTGTGTGTTGTGTGTGTGTCTTGTGTCTTAAGTGTTGAATCATGTGTGTTGTGTCGTGTGTGTTGTGTTGTGTGTGTTGTGTCGTGTGTGTTGTGTCGTGTGTGTTGTGTTGTGTGTGTTGTGTCGTGTGTGTTGTGTCGTGTGTGTTGTGTTGTCTGTGTTGTGTCGTGTGTGTTGTGTCGTGTGTGTTGTGTTGTGTGTGTTGTGTCGTGTGTGTTGTGTCGTGTGTGTTGTGTCGTGTGTGTTGTGTCGTGTGTGTTGTGTCGTGTGTGTTGTGTCGTGTGTGTTGTGTTGTGTGTGTTGTGTCGTGTAATTACCTAAGTGTAATTACCTAAGTGTAGTTACAGGATGAGAGCTACGCTCGTGGTGTCCCGTCTTCCCAGCACTCTTTGTCATATAACACTTTGAAACTACTGACAGTCTTGGCCTCCACCACCTTCTCACCTAACTTGTTCCAACCGTCTACCACTCTGTTTGCGAAAGTGAATTTTCTTATATTTCTTCGGCATCTGTGTTTAGCTAGTTTAAATCTATGACCTCTTGTTCTTAAAGTTCCAGGTCTCAGGAAATCTTCCCTATCGATTTTATCAATTCCTGTTACTATTTTGTATGAAGTGATCATATCACCTCTTTTTCTTCTGTCTTCTAGTTTTGGCATATTTAATGCTTCTAACCTCTCCTCATAGCTCTTGCCCTTCAGTTCTGGGAGCCACTTAATAGCATGTCTTTGCACCTTTCCCAGTTTGTTGATGTGCTTCTTAAGATATGGGCACCACACAACCGCTGCATATTCTAGCTTTGGCCTAACAAAAGTCGTGAACAATTTCTTTAGTATTTCGCCATCCATGTATTTAAAAGCCATTCTGAAGTTACAAAGCGTGGCATAGGCTCCTCGCACAATATTCTTTATGTGGTCCTCAGGTGATAGTTTTCTATCTAGAACCACCCCTAGATCTCTTTCTTTATCAGAATTCTTTAAAGAATTCTGATAAAATCACTGTGTTGTCTTGTTCATCACTGTGTGTGTTGTCTTGTTCATCACTATGTGTGTGTTGTCTTGTTCATCACTGTGTGTGTTGTCTTGTTCATCACTATGTGTGTGTTGTCTTGTTCATCACTGTGTGTGTGTTGTCTTGTTCATCACTCTGTGTGTGTTGTCTTGTTCATCACTATGTGTGTGTTGTCTTGTTCATCACTATGTGTGTGTTGTCTTGTTCATCACTGTGTGTGTGTTGTCTTGTTCATCACTGTGTGTGTTGTCTTGTTCATCACTCTGTGTGTGTTGTCTTGTTCATCACTCTGTGTGTTGTCTTGTTCATCACTATGTGTGTTGTCTTGTTCATCACTGTGTGTGTGTTGTCTTGTTCATCACTATGTGTGTTGTCTTGTTCATCACTATGTGTGTTGTCTTGTTCATCACTATGTGTGTGTTGTCTTGTTCATCACTCTGTGTGTTGTCTTGTTCATCTTGTTCATCACTGTGTGTGTGTTGTCTTGTTCATCACTATGTGTGTTGTCTTGTTCATCACTATGTGTGTTGTCTTGTTCATCACTCTGTGTGTGTTGTCTTGTTCATCACTATGTGTGTTGTCTTGTTCATCACTGTGTGTGTTGTCTTGTTCATCACTATGTGTGTGTTGTCTTGTTCATCACTGTGTGTGTTGTCTTGTTCATCACTGTGTGTGTTGTCTTGTTCATCACTGTGTGTGTTGTCTTGTTCATCACTGTGTGTGTTGTCTTGTTCATCACTGTGTGTGTTGTCTTGTTCATCACTGTGTGTGTTGTCTTGTTCATCACTGTGTGTGTTGTCTTGTTCATCACTATGTGTGTTGTCTTGTTCATCACTATGTGTGTTGTCTTGTTCATCACTCTGTGTGTGTTGTCTTGTTCATCACTGTGTGTGTTGTCTTGTTCATCACTGTGTGTGTTGTCTTGTTCATCACTGTGTGTGTTGTCTTGTTCATCACTGTGTGTGTTGTCTTGTTCATCACTGTGTGTGTTGTCTTGTTCATCACTGTGTGTGTTGTCTTGTTCATCACTGTGTGTGTTGTCTTGTTCATCACTGTGTGTGTTGTCTTGTTCATCACTGTGTGTGTGTTGTCTTGTTCATCACTGTGTGTGTTGTCTTGTTCATCACTATGTGTGTTGTCTTGTTCATGTGTGTGTGTTGTCTTGTTCATCACTGTGTGTCTTGTGTGTTCTCTGTTCATCACTGTGTGTGTTGTCTTGTTCATCACTGTGTGTGTTGTCTTGTTCATCACTGTGTGTGTGTTGTCTTGTTCATCACTGTGTGTGTTGTCTTGTTCATCACTGTGTGTGTTGTCTTGTTCATCACTGTGTGTGTTGTCTTGTTCATCACTGTGTGTGTTGTCTTGTTCATCACTGTGTGTGTTGTCTTGTTCATCACTATGTGTGTGTTGTCTTGTTCATCACTGTGTGTGTTGTCTTGTTCATCACTATGTGTGTGTTGTCTTGTTCATCACTGTGTGTGTTGTCTTGTTCATCACTATGTGTGTGTTGTCTTGTTCATCACTATGTGTGTTGTCTTGTTCATCACTGTGTGTGTTGTCTTGTTCATCACTGTGTGTGTTGTCTTGTTCATCACTGTGTGTGTTGTCTTGTTCATCACTGTGTGTGTTGTCTTGTTCATCACTGTGTGTGTTGTCTTGTTCATCACTGTGTGTGTTGTCTTGTTCATCACTGTGTGTGTTGTCTTGTTCATCACTGTGTGTGTGTTGTCTTGTTCATCACTGTGTGTGTTGTCTTGTTCATCACTATGTGTGTTGTCTTGTTCATCACTATGTGTGTTGTCTTGTTCATCACTATGCGTGTGTTGTCTTGTGTGTTGTCTTGTTCATCACTATGTGTGTGTTGTCTTGTTCATCACTATGTGTGTTGTGTTCATCACTATGTGTGTTGTCTTGTTCATCACTATGTGTGTGTTGTCTTGTTCATCACTGTGTGTGTTGTCTTGTTCATCACTGTGTGTGTTGTCTTGTTCATCACTCTGTGTGTGTTGTCTTGTTCATCACTGTGTGTGTTGTCTTGTTCATCACTCTGTGTGTGTTGTCTTGTTCATCACTGTGTGTGTTGTCTTGTTCATCACTATGTGTGTTGTCTTGTTCATCACTATGTGTGTTGTCTTGTTCATCACTATGTGTGTGTTGTCTTGTTCATCACTATGTGTGTTGTCTTGTTCATCACTATGTGTGTTGTCTTGTTCATCACTGTGTGTGTTGTCTTGTTCATCACTATGTGTGTTGTCTTGTTCATCACTATGCGTGTGTTGTCTTGTTCATCACTGTGTGTGTTGTCTTGTTCATCACTATGTGTGTGTTGTCTTGTTCATCACTGTGTGTGTTGTCTTGTTCATCACTATGCGTGTGTTGTCTTGTTCATCACTATGTGTGTGTTGTCTTGTTCATCACTATGTGTGTGTTGTCTTGTTCATCACTGTGTGTGTTGTCTTGTTCATCACTGTGTGTGTTGTCTTGTTCATCACTATGTGTGTGTTGTCTTGTTCATCACTGTGTGTGTTGTCTTGTTCATCACTGTGTGTGTTGTCTTGTTCATCACTATGTGTGTGTTGTCTTGTTCATCACTGTGTGTGTTGTCTTGTTCATCACTGTGTGTGTGTGTCTTGTTCATCACTCACTGTGTGTGTGTTGTCTTGTTCCATCACTATGTGTGTGTTGTCTTGTTCATCACTGTGTGTGTTGTCTTGTTCATCACTGTGTGTGTTGTCTTGTTCATCACTGTGTGTGTTGTCTTGTTCATCACTGTGTGTGTGTTGTCTTGTTCATCACTATGTGTGTGTTGTCTTGTTCATCACTGTGTGTGTGTCTTGTTCATCACTGTGTGTGTTGTCTTGTTCATCACTGTTCATCACTGTGTGTTGTCTTGTTCATCACTGTGTGTGTTGTCTTGTTCATCACTGTGTGTGTTGTCTTGTTCATCACTGTGTGTGTTGTCTTGTTCATCACTGTGTGTGTTGTCTTGTTCATCACTATGTGTGTGTTGTCTTGTTCATCACTATGTGTGTTGTCTTGTTCATCACTGTGTGTGTTGTCTTGTTCATCACTATGTGTGTGTTGTCTTGTTCATCACTGTGTGTGTTGTCTTGTTCATCACTATGTGTGTGTTGTCTTGTTCATCACTGTGTGTGTTGTCTTGTTCATCACTATGAAGCAGTTGTTGAGTGTAATGTGGTTGTCTCAGTCCCAGCAGGTCCACGTCCCCAACGCGCCATCGCCTGCAGGAGTACACGGAAGCTGAGCACCAGGGCAAGTCTGAGGATCGCTGCCTACATTACTTTCAGGCATGTCCTTACTCCTTCTTCAGCTCTGTTCCCGAACCATCTGCCTCCAGCCACACCATGAACAACGGGACCAGCCCTTGAGGTCCCCCCTGCGCCTCCAGCCACACCATGAACAACGGGACCAGCCCTTGAGGTCCCCCCTGCGCCTCCAGCCACACCATGAACAACGGGACCAGCCCTTGAGGTCCCCCCTGCGCCTCCAGCCACACCACAAACAACG